TTATGCCCCTTTTTTCTTTTCTTTTTTATATATTTTTCTGTTCCAAGAGCTTCATTTCAAGCTGGAATGGAAATGATGATAGACAGCCTTTTTTTCCCCTGAATTTATAGAGTTCGAAGCAGCTCTTTATGTGGCTGTGTTTGAAGATAAGCCATCTCTGGGGCCCTCTGAGGAGCTGCACACTCTGGGGCTCCTCTGCCCGCCCGTAGGCTGCTCGCATGTGCATCTCGAGGACACTGCCTGTACTGTCCTTGCTTGTGATGCCCTCCTTGGGCTTCTGAGTCACGGCCCTGGTAGTCTTAGAAAATGAGTTGAAGTAATTACCACCTCTTTTCTATTTTCTAAGGGAATTGGGTCAAAATGCAGGTTATCCATTCCTTGAGCATGAGTACAATAGGTTAAGATGTTTTTCTTGTTTTTATTTGCTTGCTTTTGATTTTTGTTTTTGGCGCTAAGTTCTTAACTGGTTTAATCTGTAGACTAGTGACAACTCTGTTCATTTTCTCTGTTGTCCTGAGGCGGTTGCTAAGTTACATAGAGATGGCTGATTTCTCATGTGTTTCTTCATCTTTGTTCTTCCTAGTTTCATTTGTATTTATAGGTACCTTCTTTATAGTTTTCTTCTTTCTTTTTTGTTTGGGTTTCCTATATTGTTCTAATGTTATAAGTTGGTTCTTTTGCCCTTTTTTTTTTTTTCTTTTGGCTTTTTGAGGTAGGGTCTTTTGATGTAGTTCAGGCTGTCGATGAACTTACTATGTAGCCCAGGCTAGCCATAAACTCTCAGCCATCCTCCTGCCTCAGCCTCCAGACTGCTGAGATTACAGATGTGCACCACCATTTCCAGCTGCTGATTGATTTTTGTGACTGTTTTCTGATACGCATTTAAAGCTATAAATTCATATCAATGAGCTGTGTTAGTTTCATCCACAAATTTTCATGTGAATTTTTTTCTGTCAATGAATAGTCAAAAATGTATTACTTCTTGAGGTTTGTTTCCTGAAGCACTGTTTATTTAGACTCTGTACACTTCAGAACATACTGGGAAGTGAGGTCCTTTTTCTGCTGTTGATACCCCATGCTTGGGGTGGTAAGAAAATGCCTGTGTAGTTCTCCTACCTTGTTCAGATTTTGCCGTGATTTGTGGCCCATAATATGGTCAGTTCCATCACCCATCAGTTCTTGAAAAGGAAGTGTATTCTCTGAAAACTGGGTGTAAGCTTTTTGTACGTATCCCTTAGGTCACATCGTCTACACCCTTAATGCTCTGCATCTCTGTGTAGCAGTGTGAAAACTCCAGCACTGTGCATGCTGAGGGCTGGGGAGAGTTTTCATTCCAGCGAGGCACAGGTGTTCAGAGTAACTGCACAGCAAAACTCTTTCAGGAGTTCATTTTCTTCAGTTCTTTGCCCCTTAATTTCATTCTTCATGTTTCTGCTTTGAGCTAATGTGCAGAGATCATGAGATCATGGTACTATACATAGGTTCCTCTAAACCATGGTCTACAACAACTGCTTCCCCCCAACACTTGATGCCATGGATTTATTTTCCAAAACGCACCTTCACTTTTTCCTTTCTGTGTTCACTTTGCTGGCTGTCAATTTTGGTCACGTGGAGATGCACCAAAACTTTCTGGCTGCCACCTTGCACTTGTGGAGGAGGTCAAAGGCCGTCTGCTTCCAGCACATGCTGGAAGGGTTGCAGGAGTATCTGGTCCTGAAGGCTTGTAGTTTCTGATGCACAGGAAGTGGACAGGTGCCCTGGTGTCCCAGAGCCAGCTACCCTGACACCCCAGGGTCTGGCAGTGGCATTTGTTCCTGTCTCCTGCTTTCCTGATTGTCACATAGGTAGCACGAGATCAGCTGTCCTGGAAATGTAGTCATGCTCACAGGCAGACACTACAAATCAGATTCTACTCCCAACCCGCCGGGCTACGTGTAAAAATGTTTCAGTGCAGCATATGCCACTGGGTAGATAGTAAGGCTGCAGTTATCACCCAGAAGTGCTCAAGTTTCCTCTTGGTCACCATTTAGCACTGTTGAAAAAAAAAAAAAAAAAAAAACCCAAACCAGCTCCCTGGCCCACCTACAGTTAAGACAATGTTAATTGTTGTCGCAGTTATGACCCCAAAAGTCAGTGGCAAAGCCTCGTAGAAGTGGAAATAAAGACTCACGGTTGCCAGGACTGCCGGCAGGTAGCGGCAAAGCCGCAGGGCTCCGTGCAGGGGTGGCTGTTGCCCCCAGGCGGCTTCCGCAGACCCAGGCTCCAAGGCAGCCACCTGGGACACGCCGTGCTTCCTGTGAGCCAGGCCTGGGAATCCGAAAAGTGGCATCTACCTATTGCGTAAGGAGAAGACCTGGTTTTGTGGAGAGCCGGTCGCTCTCTGCCACCACAGCGAACATCCGTGCATCCTTGACTTGTGTGCTGTGGTGAGGAGTCCGGGATGTCGCTGAGTAGTCCACACTTGGTTTCGTGGGAGGGGAGGAACCGTCCTGGGAGCAGCAGGCATCAGGGAAGAACCCCCAGGTGAGTCGTGCCTGGTGGCACCTGCAGGTCTGTTGTGTGACAGATGAAGCACAGCTCGCACCAGGACCCGGGCCCTGGCCAGGCGCGCGTGCCCGTGTGCAGCTCAGCGTCACGTCCCCATCTGTGGCAATCAAGGTGTCCGTTCTGGTCTTTCCTGGCGCCCTGGTTACAGAGCTCCGCAGGGGCCCATCATATTTCATACACGTATGAACTGAAAGTTTAACACCAGCAGCCTTTGAGTCTTCCAAATCGTAGGAGAAAATAAGGAAGTTAATTTGAGCGCAAGCCCTGCCGCTCCTTTGTGAGAGCGAGGGAGGGTGACTCCGTGCTCTGGAGCTGTCACCGCAGAGTCCTTAACAGTTAATTGACAGTTTCGCCACGAGACCCTTCCGAGGCTGTGAGCCAGAGGCGCGTGTTTATTAGATTATCTGCACTGTGGGTGCATGCTAATGGACGCAGGACACTCGGAGGCGCTGCCTACCTCAGCTCCGGCGGCTCTGAGGGTCCCTGGGCACCGGTGACAGACAAGGACGGTCCTAGGAGCCAGAGCAGTGAGCATCAGAGTGGGTAAATCAAGCCATGGGGCTCCAGGCAGAGCTCAGAGTAGAAGACAGCTCTTTTCTGGTACTAATTTCAGACAGGATTTTTGTGGCAGCGACTGTGGCTTGGGTGAGACCAACACGGTTGTCATTCTTCACAGAACCTTGCTGTCCATCCAGGCTGAGGTCATCGGACAGCAAAGACTGCCTGTGTGGCTAGCTGGCGTTGCCAACACCACTTTCACCAGAACTGACGGGGAGTCCTGTGAAAACATGATTGCAGAACATTTAGGGTTTTTTCCAGGTGCAAATAAACAACAAAAACAGAATTCCCAGTTCTTACTCCTCTCTGCTTTCTTTCCTTGTATGTAAGAGCAACTGGATATTAAATCCCTAGCTTTAGACAACCACTGGGTCCTAACCTGTTTATTCTAATCCTGTGTGGAGAACTCTTCACTGCTGTGAAATCGTCTCTTGGGTCTTCAGCAGCTCACGGCCTTTGTCAGCTAAATTTCTTTACTTGCAAAGCAGAGGTGTCCTATTGATGTAGCTGTGCTTCTGAAAATAAAAATGCTAAAGGTGTCAAAAGAAACAGAAAAGGAAACAGCGTTATGATGACCAGATCCTTAGTATGTGGTGTTCTCCCCTAATGCATATGATCAGCCACACTTTCTGCATATATAGTTTTTTTTTAATTTGCTTTAAACTCACATGATAAATATCATAAGAAGATAATATACAAACACTTCTCTGAATCTTTATTTGGTTTTCTTTGGGGTTTGTTTTTTGTTTTTTTGTTTTGCTTTCTGCTTTTTTGAAATAGGGTCTCATTGTGTAATTCAGGCTGGCCTGGACTCACTATGTAGCCTAGGCTGGCCTTGAACTCGGTGGTGATCCTCCTGTCTCAGCCTCCCAAGTACTGAAATTACAGGGGTGTGCCACCACCGTCGGCTCTAAATCTTTATTTGTGACCCAGATTCTAGGATTACAGTGCTTTTAATTGTCTGCCAATGTTAAATATTGCAGAATATTTAGGTTACCTAGCCCAAGTATTTTGGGTGGTTCAATAGAAAATAACAGCTTGAAAGAAGGTGAATGTTTTTAAATCCAGAACAAAGAATTCAGTTTGTTAACCATTGCAGTGTAGAACAAAGAACATAACAGCCACGGTCCTATGCGTGATTTTGAGATGCTGAAAGAAAATCTCCGTGCCCTCTCTCAGTCTTTCTTCTTACCAGAGATGGTTCTCTTAGAAATAAATGTCACTGGAAAGGACTCAGCAGGTGATCGGTGGAACGCGACCGGTGCATCATACTGACGCTGGCTGTATTGCACCGCATGAACCTGGCAGAGTCCTCAGGCTGTGCGAGCAGTTCTGTCAGGGTGTGGGAAAGACGAGGCAGGTCGGCAAACTCTAACACATAAAATTCGGCCAGCACTATTCAGTCAGACAGGAGTGTCTACGCCGCGGGTAAGCATGTCGACCTCTGGTGCAGTTCACAGAGGTATGGAAGACTGGGTTGATGACAGTTGAGTTGAGCAAAGGCATCTGTCTGTACCTAATTCTCTTTTTTTTTTTTTTTTTGTCTTTTTTCGAGACAGGGTCTTGCTATGCAGTTCAGGCTGGCCTTGAGCTCACTTTGTAGCCCCAGGCTGGTCTCAAACTCACAACGATCCTCCTGCCTCAGCCTCCCGAGTGCTGGGATTACAGGCGTGCTCCATCATGCCCAGCCTCTGTATCTAATTCTCTTACTTGCTGTGTTACTGGGGAATCTCCAGCGAGACGTCAGCTTCCTCAGTCCCTCCAGCTGTCCCTAGGGCTTTGAATTTGTTCCCAGCACAGAGGCGGATGGAGCTAGGCCTGTGTGGGGTGTGCGGAGGCCGGGCGGCGCTGCTGCCGGGACCGGAGGGTGCAGTGACTCGCTTCTGGTGTTTCAGGTTGCTTCCAGCTATGCAACGCCTTCAGATCCCGTGAGATGGAAATTGACCAGTGCTTGCTGGAGTCGCTCCCTCTGGGCCAGCGGCAGCGGCTGGTGAGGCGCATGCGCTGCGAGCAACTCAAAGCCTACTACGACCGAGAGAGAGCGCTGCAGAGGCAGGAGGGTTTCCTGAAGAGGCTCAGGCAGGGCAGGAGCCCGAAGGTGCGGTTCGGCCTGGCGGACGTGATACAGGACGCCATCATCCACCACGAGGACAAGGAAGGTGCGTGGTGTGGGGGCGGCGTCCCCAGCTCCGCCTCGGCCGCTGGAGAGATGGGGGGGATGGGAATTACAGCGAGGCTGCTGGCTTTGTGCTATCTGAGCTGTTCAAGAAGAATGCGCTTTCCAAAGAATATCATTGAAAACCCCAAGTCTAGTAAATAGGAAACAATGTGAAGTTTTGCTGAAATTGTTATATTTTGCTCTATCAGGTTTACCTGTCTGAAAAACAAGTGGTTTCTCTCAAAGTATTCATTCAAGTCGCTAATGAAACTTCTGAACAGCGAAATTGTCTCTGTTGATGGCGATTCTGGCTGTGATACTCATTAAATGATTAGCTCAGACATGGGTACCCATGGTGCTGAAGTTAGTGCCCTCAAAATTCTCAGGACATAAGAGTAGTTCATCAGAAACAGAAGAATTGCTTCTATCAGTGTGTACTTTTAGTAGCTCAGTAGCTCTGGGTCTTACGTCAGACCTGTGACCGACTTTGAGTTGATTTTTAGTGGCATGGGAGAGTGCATGCTCTGCGCATGATCCCTGGTTTTCACAGCACCATTTATTGTACAGGCTGGTGCTTCCCCAGCTCTTGGGAGGGTGCGCTTATCAAGATCACGTGGCTGTGGATGCGAGGGGCATCTCTGGGATCTCTGTTCTATTGGTCTAGGTGTCTGCTTTTCACTAATACTGTGCTGTACTGTACAGGGCGCTCTGTATGATGTCGTAGAGTCCAGTGTCTGGATGCCTCCAGCTTTGCTTTGTTGTGGAGACACTTGACTTTGTTTAATCCTTACATTTGGCTGGCTTATGGTAGCAAGGTATTAGATTTTTCTCAAAATGCAAAATACAAATCTCAGTCGTGTTCGGGAGACTGCACTCCTATCTCTCATATATATATATATATATATATATATATATATATATTTGAGGCAGGGTCTCACTGAGTAGTTCAGACTGATCTTGACCTCAATATGTAACCCAGGCTGACCTCAAACTTGCAATGATCCTCCTGCCTCAGCCTCCCAAGTGCTGGGATTAAGGCACGCACACCCCTACACCCAGCTCTCATATATTCTTGTATATGAACTTTTCTGTTCTTGTTCTTAGTCGAGTCTACTTTCCCAAGTTCCTATGTGAGCAAAATGTTTCAGCTCTGGATATAAATGAAAAAGCCTTCAAAGAAACTAATATAAATTAATGTGCCGTGATCGGCTCTAAAATCAGTAGTTCAATTAATCTGAAATAGACATTCTTCACACGACATTAACCACAATTTACACTCCAAAAGGCTCTGAAACAGATTTTTGTTTTTGTAGCTCTTTTAGTGTCAGAACTTTCTCTGACCTATTTACATTTTTCACCTGGAAAAATCAGTAAGAAAATCATAAATTTACTAAAACACGTGTTTCCAAGGTTTTAACATAGGATTGTGAAACTATGTCTATGAAACCTGATGGTGCATTCTGTATGACATTAGTTATAGTAGCGCTCAAGTAGTTCTTTGCATTTTTGAAAAGTCTTAGAAGTTTTTAATTGGCGCATGTTTGCAGGACATAGTGACTGTATTCACCGTGGCTGGTAGCTACACGTATGTAACACATCGCAGTCATCTTTACGTCCCCTTCCCTCTGCTCCATTCTTCTCCTTCTTGGTCCCCTGCCCATTTGCAAAAGAACTATCTTCCTGTTTCCTATCATTCGTCTTTTATTTTCCTTTTTAATGTGTTTATACTCCGAGTTTCTCATGTAAGAGAAAGCATGTGATATTTAAGCTGGGTGTCTGGTTTACTCCACGGAATGTTGGTCTCAAGGCGCATCCATTTTCCTGCAAATGACTCCTCTGCTTTGTGCGGTTTGCTAGTGAAGCTGCGGCCCTCTGAGGGGTTCTGAGCTGTCTGCACTACTGTCTGGGTCGCTAACTGATCCTGGCAGGTGTGATACCAAAAAGGAGGAGTGGAGTGCCGCACAAAATTACTTTGGCTGGAAAAGCAGTGAGTCATCAACAACTGCTAGCTTGCATGCTGGGGACCAAAGAGTGACGAGTACTGGGATGAAATTCTCGCGTCAAAATGTGCAGGGTACCAAACTTGATGAGTCTCAAAGCAGTGGAGTGCGAAGCTATGACCACACGGAGACGGCCGTGCAGGAACAGGGCCTCTGTGAGCCGCGCAGTCCCTGAGATGTCACCTGACCCAGCCCTGTCACCCTGCAGGCTGCTCACGGCGCTCCTACGTCCTGTCTGCACGTCTCGGCTCAGGGCCACCTCCTCTGTGACTCCAGACCTGATGAGGGCAGGGACGTGGTCACTGGGCTCACTACCCCTCCAGCGACCTCCCGCCTTCCCGCAGAGTGGAGTGAAGGAGTGAAGCGGTTCGGCCAGCTCACCTACAGCACTGGTCATGGAAACTTGGACTAGGATGTAGGTCTTTATGCTTAAGCCCTGTATTGATTTGAAAGCAGTGAAACACAAAAGTTATGTGTACAGCTATAAAATCTCTCATGCAAAATATCTTCAGGAAGCACAAAAAACATCTGTGAAGGTTAAAAAGAAATTAAGGGCAGTAAACTCAGAGACCAAAGAGGATTGTGATGACCGGGGGCAGCGTTGGTGTCCTGGGATCTGAATTCACCCTGTTAAGCAGCTGTACAGAGGTGGAGCTCTGCTGTCACGTTGGTGATCAGAGGGCAGGACAAGGTGCGAGTGTCAGCTGCAGAGACTTCCCGTTTCCCATCTAGGGAGGAGCGGGAAAACAGGAGAGGGGAAGACAGTGAGCAGATGTGAAGCTCAGCAGAACTACAGCAGCCGAGCAAGCCTTAAACAGCAGGGGTCAGAGAGCTGACCAGGAGCACTGCTGCTCCGAGAGGGCGGCCCTGTGGAGAAGCAGTTGCACAGGCTCAGAGTTGAGACCCAGCACTCGGCTTGGAGGGAGTGGAAGGTGGGGGGAGAGCAGGAAGAGATGATCACCGTGGGCACTTTGGGGCTTAGAAAGGAGTATTCATCTGAGAAGGGAAAATGAATGACCTTGGAGGGAGAAAGGAGACTGACGGAGGAGTGAGACCTTGGGTCTGCAGAGCACGGTGAGTCAGACCTGGCGCCCAGTGGTGGGTTTGCCCTCGGCTAGGGATCTGAACTGCTCCTTCCCAATCCCGGCTGCTCGGTGAGTTCCTCAGGGTAGATTTTATTTGTATTCCAGCATGCAGGCCCTACCTGAAGAGATGCAGATTTAATCCATCTGATGCGGGGCCAGGGCAGCTGAGAGGTGCCAGACCATGATGTAGAGAGTGCTGAGAAGGCGAGTCTGAGGACGGAGGTGGATGGCAGCGGAGGGTCCTCCTGCTGGTACAGGAGCTGCCGGTGACAGAGCCCTGGCTTCCAGGAGGCAGGAAGGGTGGGTGTATCAGTAAGTGTTTCACTAGAGAAACAGATATAACACAATATACACAAATCTATAAGAAATTACACAATCGTCTCATGATGGTCAGCCACAGAGCTGGGTGAGAAAGCCTACAGAAGGTGTCTGCACACTGGAGGCTGAAGGTTTCAGTCCAAGGTCTGCAGCTCACTGCAGTGTCCCATGCAAGTCCATATCAGGCTGATTGGTCCATGACAGAAGGCTGAAGGATTTGAGGTGGAAGCCGTAGAGTCTGGGCTAGGAGCCGGGAAACTTCTTCCAAGCTGAAGGTGAAGACAGGAGCGCCTCTGAAGAACGGAAGCAGAGCCGTCTTTCCTCATTTTCCCTTTATACCATCCAGGCACCAAGCCGCCCCAGGGCAGGTCCACAGGGTGCCCTAGGATGTGGAATTGCAGAGCGGATTTAGTGAAGCATCTAAACTTCTCAAATCGACACAATCCTTCACCCATTACAACGGGGAAGAGGAAGGGCAGGCGGGAAGAGGAGCACGTGTCAGGAGGCAGGGCAGACACAAGAGAGAGAACAAAACCAGCAATAGGACTTACAGGGCAGCTTAGGTATAAAACAGGAAATGTAAAAAGAGGGCTCAGGTATGACCCGGAAGCTTCACAAAAGGTTTGGCCTGGTCTCTCTGGACTTTTCCGTATTACTAAGTATTTAATTTCTTATCATAGGATTTTCCTCATAGTTTTTAGAATACAATTTGTCCTCACTTTGCCTTCACCAAAATTGATCCACTGGGCACCCGGAGACCGTTTGGAGAAATATGCAAGCTCGGCAGGAGGCGCTGAAACCGTCTTGCCAAATTGAAACCTCTCACTGCTGCCCAGGGCAGGCAGAGGGCTCGGTACTCTGTTCTTATGTGCAGGAAATGAATTCAAGCCTGGCGGGTGGCAGGTTGTTCATCCGTGAACAATGGTAGAAAAGTCCTAAACTGAAGTGAGCAGCCATATTTGATTTTTCAATTCAAAAGAAGCAAAAAATAAGTTCTATTTAACTAATCAATGATTCATTTTCAATTGAAAAAATTGCTTTTTACTTAGGAGTTTGCTGACTGGCAGTGGACAGGACAGCTGGATAGTAGAGGCCCACCTTTGCTCGGCACAGTGACCAGTGTAAGGTCACCGAAGGGACAGCGAAGCAGAAAGGGCAGACACGTGTGCACTCCATACATGTGTGCCCTGGTACGCACAGGCACATGTGCACCCGGAGCTCTTTACATGTTTGCCATGCACCGTGAACCGCAGTAAACCTTTCCTGCATACCCTCCTGTTTATTCCCTGTGACAGAAATACCACAAAAAAAAAAATTCATCAAGACCTTGGAGGAAAATATCCCCAGGAAGGGATCATATGCCAGTTTCTCACGCCCATGAGCGCTGGAAAAGAGTTTGATGGAAGCGAAGATCACAGACACCGGTGAAGTTCTGCTTTCCATACTCATAAGTGAAATAAATCCGTCTCGCGTGTGTAAACATCGTATTGTCTCCCTAGTGTAAAAACCTGAAAGAGTGAATAAAACTGAAAGCTACAATAGATATTGTGAAAGGGAAGGAAGCTGCTTAAAAGGAAAGAGAAACTAGAATAGGAGAA